GTATGAGTAGCAAGCAGCGTTGGAGGCTGACACGCTTTCTGGCAGATACGGATACCGGGACGCCTTCGATGTCGCCGAAGTTGTTCAAAACTACAGCTTGGCGGGCATCCCCTTGGAGACCATGTGGACGGACATTGATTACATGGACCGCCGCCGCGTCTTCACCCTCGACCCGGACCGGTTCCCCCTGTCCAAGATGCGGGAACTCGTCGACCACCTTCACGCCCACGACCAGCACTACGTCGTCATGGTCGATCCGGCTGTTGCCTATCAGAACTACCCGCCTGCCAACCAGGGCCTCGAGGACAACGTGTTCATGCTGCGGTCCAACGGCTCCGTGTGGATCGGCGTGGTGTGGCCGGGCGTCACCGTCTTCCCCGACTGGTTCTCGGCCAATATTACGCGGTACTGGAACGGCCAGTTCCAGACCTTCTTCGACGCCGACACGGGCCTGGACATTGACGCCCTGTGGATCGACATGAACGAGCCCAGCAACTTCCCGTGCAACTTCCCGTGCGACGACCCCTACAAGGCCGCCATCGGCTATCCTCCGGCCCCGCCGCCGGTCCGGGCCCCGCCTCGTCCGCTGCCCGGCTGGCCGTGCGACTTCCAGCCCGGCGGCTGTCCCGGCAAACGCGAGGCCCAGCCCGAGCCTCTGCTGACCGTCGCAGGCAGCGACAGCCCACCCGTTGGCATTCGCAGCGTCGTCCCCAACAACAGGCCCGGCAGCGGCGAGGGGGACCAAAAGGGGCTTCCCGGCCGCGACCTGCTGTATCCCAAGTACGCCATCCACAACAAGGCCGCCTACCAGGACTCGTGGAACGCCGACAAGGGCGGCATCTCGAACCACACGGTCAACACGGACCTGATCCACCAAAATGGCCTGGCCATGTATGACACGCACAACCTCTACGGCACCATGATGTCGTCGGCCTCCCGCGACGCCATGGAGGCTCGCCGCCCCGGCCTCCGCCCCCTGGTCATCACGCGCAGCACCTTTGCCGGCGCTGGCTCCAAGGTCGGCCACTGGCTGGGCGACAACATGTCGCAGTGGAGCTACTACACCGTGTCGATCCGGACGATGCTGGCGTTTACGTCCCTCTTCCAGTTCGGCTTCGTGGGCTCCGACGTGTGCGGCTTCGGCGGCAACACCAACGAGGAGCTGTGCGCGCGGTGGGCGTCGCTGGGCGCCTTCAACACCTTCTACCGCAACCACAACGACTATGGCAACATAGGCCAGGAGTTCTACCGCTGGCCGTCCGTCGCCAGCGCCGCCAAGAAGGCCATCGACATCCGCTACCGCCTGCTCGA